ACACTTAGCAGCTGCACCCCGGGGGCTAACTGGGTTGGAGTAGGGGGGTACTGCCTCAAAAGCTCTTGTGAGCTCAGGAGGTCAAAAAATGTGGTGAGGTTGTGCCATCTGTCCATCTGTTGCTACAGAAACTGCTCCTAATGGTTTGGTTAACTTGTCTTGGGTCTCGGCGCAACTGGCTAGTCACTGGTAAAATTGGGACTGGAATAGTATTTTGGCTTTTACAAAGTCTTCAGATTTCTACGGCACAGTCCAGCAATGCAATTAAGTGTGTGCATGTGAACAATATCACTGATTTCAGCAGGGCTGTTGATATATGTTGATCATATTTAGGCACATTCTTGTGTTCTTGTCTGAGGCTGTAATCAGTAGCCATCCTCTCGAATTCAGTGCGTTTTACGTCCTTGCCTTCAAAACCTGCTCTGCTCTTCCATTCCGACACATCCAGAGAGCCTGATGGTAGAGGAAGAAATAGCTGCCATTTCCCAACAGTTTCCATTATAAAACTGAGTTTTTTCAGCCAGTTGTAACTTCACCAAAATGTAACTGCTCAGACTGAAATTTCTGAGTGTATCGTGCATAAGGCTGAATTTTTGTATAAAAAAAAATTAGCTGAAATGTTTCTGTGACCAAGGAAAATATGGGGGTTTTTTTAATCTTGGAGGAACTTTGCTGCTCTGATATTTTGGAGCAAGAAATGCAGCAGAAGAGCTTTCTGGTCTGAAAGCAGCTACTGGCATTAACAACAATCCTCTTTGCCAGTATCCGGAAATGCAAATAAATTTGATCAAATCATGAAGTTCTAAAAATTACTTATCGCAAGTAATATTCAGTACAATGCTGTATTAGAATTTGGCAGCTAAACACTGTCTATATTGAGAACATGCTTTTCTGTATAACTCCTATATGTGAAACCACAGAAAACTGGATTTTGTCCTTATTTCTTCTACAGAGCAATTGGGTGAGGCTGGATGAATCACTTAGAGTGCTAAGTTGGTCATTAATTTTGCATTCTTCATTCTCATAGTGCCTAATTTTGAGACTATTTAGGTTAGGATTTTATTTCCGGACTCCTCCTATTTGTACAATCTCCTGAGATCTGTAGGAAGCTAGTAAAAAAAAGGCTGAATATGTGGTGATTTTGTGAGATATTTTAGCCACCGAAATGATTTTTAAATTATAGGGGGTTTTGTATGTCTTACTGTCCTGCATCTGTGCAATTGGGTTTTACTGCTGTTATGCCTTAGCAGAGGTTTGAGGTGATCCTTTTATTGTTTTATAATTGCCCTTCTCATATAAGCACTGTCTGTTTTGTGCATCGAATGAACCGGGGCTCAGGAGGAATATTGCTACCTTAGGACTTGAAGGAACCTCAAGACACCAACCGGTCCATTCTCCTAACCATGACGGAAGTCGCCTACTTAGGTCACACACGATAGGTGTGCTGAGAGCTTTAAGAACAGGCTAATGGTGGCAGATAGCTATCAGTTCCAGTGTTTCAGAAACCTTAGGTCAGAAACCTCATTGCCAGAAAATTTTCCTTTGTATCTAATTGAAATCTCTCCTGCCTCGGTGCAATGTAGTTAGAGTTTGGGTTAAAACAAACACATAGTTAAGGTTACACAGACAGCTTTGGATTTAACAGTTTTTAACCTGAAAGTTGATTTTATATGTGTGAAATGATCAAATGTAGTACATACTCAGACTGAAAGTATTTTGCATCTGAAGATACCTTTTTTTTTTTTTTTAGTTTTATTTATGATTCAGTCAAAATAAATTAAAATAATAGATGATTGTTTTGAAAGCAAATTACTGGGAGCACTATATTTCTACCATGGCAAGTGCTGAAGAGATGAGAATGTCTTATAATGCCAGAATGAGTTGTGTAAACATGGGTATTTATATACTCAACAGCAGCAAATCTCTGAGAGATTTTTTTTTTTTTTTTTTTAACTTGGCTGAGTCTCCTCTGATCCCACTTCTATCCCAAAGAAGGAGGAGGAGAAAACTAATGTTCCTATCACACATGTTCCATTATTGATTTCCATTCCAATCTACCCAAAGTCTTCTGTGCTGGAAATAATTAGACCCTGTGAACAGAGATGAAGCAAAAATCTATACAATGCTGGATTGCCAGAAATAAAGACAAGGGTGCCTAATTAATGTTGCATATAGAACGCCTTTTGGATGAATGGGCTTCCCTTTCTCAGCAGCAGCTCAACAGTGGTTATGTCACAAATTTGCTGTTAATTAAATGGTGTTCACTGTGTGCCTGTAAAAATGGCATGAGGAAAAAAAAAACATTGGACAGCAGCAGCATTTTACAAGAGCTCTGCAATTAAAAGAAAAACCTGTGAAAAATAAACTTGTGGGCTTCATACTGACGGCAAGATATTTTCTTCTGTATTAAATTCACTTTATGGATTGTCTCAAAGCTCTTTCGTAACATCTAGTCACCGAAGAAGTTTGAGCAATTGAAAAGTTGGACTGGAAGTGTTTTGGGAGGGTTAAGGACAGGAAAAATGTTCCTGGGAGCTGAGGCATCTGTGGGCAGCTGCAGCCAAGCCAACGGGTAAGGGTTGTTGAGAAAGCAAGTCAGGACCTGGGGGAGACCAGGAGATTAACTTTTCTTTGAGTGAAAGGTAGACTGAAGGCAATTTAAGTTAGGCTGTGTAACACATCTTGGGAACTGAGAAGGCAGATATTTAGGAAGAATGTAAGAGAGGTAACTGATGAAAAGTCTTCACAACAGGCATGCACTCGCCTAATACAGAACTATCTGGAGGTTAAAAACTGGAGAGTATCTGAAATAGATTAAGAGAAAAAATGTAAGCTGTATCCATATGACACTGTTTTCTTGTTTCTTTCCTCCAAATAACACAACGATAAAGTTGTTCCCCAAACAGAAAAATCTAGTCTGTTAACTGGCACATAGACAGGCCTGCATTGGTGGTTAAGCTTCCTGCGTGTGGTGTCAGTGGTTTTGCAGTGGGCATCCCCTTCTCCCTCCCGGGTCTTGCTGAATCCATTTCTGTTTCTTTTTCCCTTGCCATTCCCCTGCTACATCCAGAGGAGCTTAGGAGCTTGTTGCTAGCCAGTAAATGATACTCCTGCTCTGGTCTCGCTTCTGTGCGGTACACAGCCAGGCGCATGCCGGTGAGGAAGGTCCTCTCTTTTAGAGGCTGAGAGAAGAGTGTGTGTGGTAGCCCTGGTGGATTTATCTTTATAGTTATTAGCCCCCTCAGTTTTCTGTGAAGCTGGTCTCCTTTTTAGCAGCCCCCAGAATAACAGTGCTACGTGCCTATGCATGCTGCAGAGAACAGCAATGGGATTTTTGGTGTGTCAGAGGTCTCTAATAGTAGAGGGCTTCTGAAAGAGTTGTTCTCATCCTGTAATTTACAGGCCACTGGCGTGCCTTCTTTCAGCCTTTAATTCTCTCCTTTTATCTTTATTCCCTCCTTGCTCTTGTAGATATCTGTTGTGGCCAATCTAAGTGATATGATTGCTCTCTGTGCATCTCTGGAGAATTTAAATAGCATCATTCCCTCCTTCTCTCTTCTCCCTGTAAATGCAAAGGAAGTTTCTCTTCTTTAGGCAAAGATATAAAACTTTTTTTTTTCCTCTTTAAGAAGCTAGAAAATTAGTAAAACCCAGACTCCTTCGTTGAACAGATAAGTTCAACTGATGAATCTATAGGAATCTTCCTAGACTGTGCCTTAAACTACAAGAATAGATGTGTTTTCAAATTAAAATCTAGCTGACATAAATGCAGTTTTAGCACGGATTTGATAGAGGGAATTATTTTTCCCAATACAGTAGAAGCTGTGGTTCTGGTTTAGGAATTCTACAAAATAATTCGAGTGCAGGGAAAAAGGATCTAGGAAAAAGGAGATTTTTATAATAGCATGCCTTCTAAGACCTCTCTTTTCTTCCCATTTGGCTGCTTAGCGTCATCTCTCTCTACTCTGGCTCTGTTTTAATAAAAGTGTTTTTCTCTGCAAGCTGTTGACTCTGATGCACAACTGAAATAGGTGAACACACAGGTTGTGAATCTGCTCCCCATCATTGCATTTTGATTCTGAACTCCATATTTAATCTATTTAAATAATCTGCTCCTGGGACTTAAGTCAACTCCTAGATACTTTTTTATGTTCAACAAATAGTAAAGCATTACAGTAATTTGAATCAAATAACCAAATCCATATGAAATACATGACTTGTTATCTTTCCAACAGATTTATTTTCTTCCCTGGATCCATTTTAAGCTGCACTGCAGTTGCCAAATAAAAAATAAACTGAGTTTTCAGTATAGGGATGTGATAAGTGTATGATTTCCATTACGTCCCAGTGTGCTACATAATAAAATATGAAAACATGTAACACATTTTGAGTATAGAATTGAAATGGATTTTCTGACCTAGTCCCAGCGAATAGGTGCTAAAGCAATGGCAAAGACTGTAGCTCCTGGACTGTAATTATCATTTGAGTTATTTCTCAGTGGTAAGAGACTTTAGACCTGTGGGCACAATTTAAAAAAAGAAAAAAAAAAAGCAGAGTCGTTTTGTCCTTTTTCTCTTTAGCCATCAGCAGCAGGCTGATGAGCCAATGCTTTTGAAGTTATTTAGGGTGTGGGAAAAAGCGAATCACATTGGTTCTGCTTGTTCATATGTTATCCGGTTGCATGTTTGTAAGAACATAATCTAACAAAGTATTTTAAAACATAGTTGAGTGTTTTAATCAACTGGAACTTCAAGAGAGTGTGAAAACAATTTTTGTTCTACAGAAGTCAGTCATGTTTTGTTGTTCCCTTCAGTAGCAGCAGAAACTCATCTACATAGCATATATTTTAAATTCTTATGAGTATAGAAAGCATCACTGCTTGTTCAGTCTCTTCAGAGTCCTCTGTAGCTGTTGCCCTGTGTTAAATGAATCTCACTACTGTCTATTTCACGTAAAATGGAACGTTACAGAATATAATCTTTCTGTCTTTTCTGTTGTAGCTTGGCTTTACATCCCCCAAAAGACACTGTAGTCACTGTCAGTGATGACCACCTCTGGAAAATGTGGGCTTTACCTGATGGGAACATCATCATGACAGGTGAAGGTCACACTGATTGGCTTTCGGGCTGCTGCTTCCATCCAAGGTTAGTGCAAACAGTCCCCTGAACCAGCTCTAATCCCTTCTGGGGAGTACTTGTTTGCTCTTTCTTTGTTCACTGGCCTGCTTTGATGACTTTCTATTCTCAGTGTAACCCTGTGCTCTCTGCTGAATTTCCAAACATGTAGATAAATGTTCCTCTGGCTTTCAGTGTGTTGACTTAAGATTGATTGCTTTCAGTATTTTGTGCATCTTAAACTTTGTCCACGTGCCAGTGCACGTAACAAGGAGTAATAAGCTTTTTAGGTCTTACTGTATTAATTTTCTCCATGTTCATGCACTATAACAAACATGGTTCCATTATTAATAATACAGAAAACTTGCTTTCTTGTAGTAGGCATTATTTGTCATATGACTAAGAGTATTTGAGTTTATCTAGAGAATAAGAATATGAGCTTTCCTCTCTTCTCTTTATAGAGATTTGAAGCTGAATTAATAAATGAAAGTGAACATTGAAAATAAGAAATAAATATTTGCATTACAAGGGTCATAGAAATAGGCCAAACATGAAGTAGATTTCTTGGTCATTCTGTTGAAAAATAGAGTGTCATTTTACTCTCTCGCTTTTAAAACTGAGGCTCTATATGTTAAAATTATTTTGCATCAGATTTGCAAGGCTGCAGTTGTAATAGAGTTTTTTACTGTTAGTATAATAAAGGTCTGCCAGGCTACTCACCTGAGGTTCACTTATAAAAAGAGCATTATTAAACCTCCAACCTTGTATTTTCATTGTATTTATTTTATGAAGCAATATTAGCTCTTTCCTTCATGAGAAGAAGTATCCTATTTAATTTCATGTTTCCTCCTGATTTCTGATATTGTAATGAGTTAGCAAATGCACACACAATCATCTAAACACAAGAAAATCCCCTCCCGGTTTTCAAAACCTCAAGAACATGGAGTAATGCTTTCTGGGATGGATTAAACATGCACATACTCTTTTCTTGCGTCTCTTTCTCCTGTGAAACATAGGCTTTTTCTTAAGATGTCTGTGTTTCACAATATTTGCTTTTGCGTGTGTATATCCTTAGAAATAAGTTTATATATTTAAAAGAAGAAAATAATATTTGACTAAAATAATTACATATAATACAGGAGGAGAGAAATGGAGGGCTCAGCTTCTTGTTTTAAGATGGTAGGAAAACTTTTCTATTACTGAATGACAGGTTGCACAGAGTTTGTGAGCTTGCTGGACGTCCTAAGTCTAACTTGCAGATAAACAGAATGCTGCCTTACCTCTTACCTGTTATGAATATAAAATTCATCACAGGGAAAGAAAGGGAAATACAATTAGAAGACCATGTTATCATTTATAAAGCTGCTGGGCATGCTAATCAGATTTCGATAATGCATTGTTACCATGACACCCACTGACTCAGAGACTCAAAACTATTTTCTCATTAGTCTTTGACCAGAATACAGTCCTTTCAATAGGCTTTCCTATTTCTCATTCAATTATTGAAATTAAAATGAGTTGAGGTACATGATTATTCCCTTGCAGTATAAATTGACTCCTGC